CAATCTTCCTGCCTCAGCCTCCCAAAGTGCTGAGATTACAAGCTTGAGCCACTGTACCCAGCCTATTTTTTAAAAAATGTCTGTAGGAACTGTAGTGATGTCTCCTTTTTCATTCCCAATATTAGTAATTTATATTCTTTCTTTTTCTCTCTTTCTTCTTTTCCCTTTCTCTTTCTTCTCTCTCTAGCTTCTTCTCTTTGAATAGACTAGCTTGCAATTGATCACATTTATTGATTTTTTCAGAGCCAAATTTTCATTTCATCATTTTTTTGCTTGCATATTTTGTGTTTCACTGATGTCCACTCTTTTTGCCTTCTTTCTATTTGCTTTGGGATTAATATCTTCCTTATTCCTCTAATTTATTAGGGTATAAACTGTCGACTTTTTTCCTTTCCTAGTTTAGCAGATAAAGCTAGACATTTTCCTCTAAATTCTGCTTTACCTGCGGGCTATACATTTTCATATGTTGCATGTTCATTATCATTTGATCCAATCTACTTTTCCAATATTTCTCCTAATATCTTCCTTGATTCATAGATTATTTAGGGTATGTTTAATTTCCTTACATCTGAAACTTTGTCAGGTATATTTTGTTACTGATTTATTCCCCCTTCCTACTTTGTGGCCAGAAAGTGCCCCCAGGTAGAAAGCTGGGGTGGGTTCTCACTTCTCAGATTTCTCTTCTCTCAGGAGTAGTGTTGCCAGATACAATACAGGACACCCATTTAAATTTGAATTTCTGATGAACAATGAAAACTTCTAATATAATTATGTCTCAAATATTGATGTGATACTCATATTTAAAAATTAGTCATTGTTTATCTAAAATTCATATTTCAGTAGACTTCCTTTATTTGTATTTGGTAAATTTGGCAACACTATTCAGGGATCCCAGAGTTCTCCACTGCCTGTTGTTCAGTGTCTGAGAACAGTTGATTCATGTACTGTTTTTCCTTCAAGTTTTCTAGTTGACAACAGTGGGAGGAAAAGTCTGGTAAAATCTGGAACCAGCTATTCTGTCATGATCAGATGTAGAAATCTCAGTTCCTTCTGAAGGCAGATGACATTGAGTTCTTGAATAAAAAGGTCATCTCTGTCCAAAACGGCATAAATTTGGATCCATGATTTATCTAGAGCAGCAATTCCATAAGATATTCCAGAAAAAAAAAAAGGTTTTTTGGTCAAATATATTTGGACAGTGTTGTATTCTCTATTTTCTCATTAGATACTCAATTTTTAATGCATTCAAATAGTATTGCATTCATACAGTGACAAATTCATAAAATAAAATATTTTTTAAAATACAGTAACATTTTCCCCTAATTCTGTCCCCAGTTTATTCAGTTCTTATCATCCCTCCAGACATCTACTTTTATTTGTTTTTTGTGTGTCTTCCAAATGTCTCTTGTACATTCCAATGAATATAAATTTGTTTTCTTATTCCCCCAAATAAAATACAGCACATTGATTTTTTTTTCACTCAAAGTATTTAGAGAATCTTTCTGTATTAGTACTTAGAATAATTTCTCAGGTTTAAAAAATTTTAACTGCATAATCTTTCTTTGTATTGTGAACATTTGAGTTGCTTCCACTCTTGTGATATTATAAACTTTGCTGTAATGGGTAACCATGTGTTTATGTTATTCCTCTCCATGAGTTTATACAATCAGGATAAGTTACCACTATTACAATTACTAGGTCGAAGGGTGTCTGCATTTGTAATTACAATAAATATTGTCAATTTACCCTCTATAAGCATTGTGCAATTTATTTTTATACTAATAATGCATGAGGGATGCCTATTACAGTACCCTTGACAGCAGAATGTATTTAGACAACTTTTGGATTTTTGCCAAACTTACAGATAAAAAACAGCAGCTCAATGTACTTTCAATAAAAGTCAGTTATATTTCCCATGTCTATTTTTCTGTTGAACAGCTGGACTTTTTCTTATGTACTCCCATAGATAATTGTTGTATTTTTCCTTCCTTTTCTTTTCTGAGAGAGGCTTGCAGAAATTTAAAAAAATGTTTATTTCATGAAATGTATCAATCTTTAATGACATCTTAGTTTTGAACCCTAATTAGAAAGATCTTCGACCCTCCAAGATGATAAAGACATTTTGAAATGTTTTCTTCTAGAATTTTTATGGCTTACTTTTTAAAAAAATTAAATATTTGATCAAGTTTTAATTTTCCAGGTATGAGGTATGGACTGACTATTATATTTTTCTTTCAATTGTTTATGTAGTTGTTCCAACTTTGTATATTGGATAATCCATTGTTTCTCTTTTGAGAAATATGTGGTGGCAACAGTTAGTCAATTTATGATAAATTTATTCAATTCGTATTTTCCCCAGAAAACAATAAATGACTTGCTGCCTCCTTGGTATCAACCCAGGAACAGAGCCACAGAGATTCTTCTCTGGGATCCTTCCCTTCTCTGTGGGTTCTGTAGCCCCCCACAAGGTCTTAACTTGCACTGGACTGGGGGATGACCCTGGCTGATCTTGTTCGCTTTTAAACCTCTTGTTCATGACATTTAGGGCTGCACCTTTTAATATTCAAACTGCAAAACTGCAGGTTTTGAAGGCTCAAGAACCGTTCCCCTCAAACTATTGCTTTTGCCTTGAGTTTGCAACATCCTTTTCGAAACTTAGAGTTTGAAAATATTTTCTTTCTCTTTCCCTTCTGAATGCTGAAAGCAGTCACCTAAAATGCCAGCCACTGCTGTCAGAGTGTCGGGAGGAGCAGGGCTGGCAGGAAATACTGACCAAGAAGGCTCAGGTCAGTATTTCAAAACACGGTCATCACCCCACAGTGTCGGTGAACATGGTACTCCAGAGTGCTGGTTGGAAGCTTGAGATATTTTCATCATTTCAAGTGTCGTTTGAAGTATAAAGACCTCATTCTAGTTCTAGTTTTTCCAGGTCACCTTGGGGAAACTGTGTGACTTCCCCTCTTCCAGCCTCAGTTTCCACACCTGCATTGAGGTTCTCTCAAGCTCCCTGTGAGAATCCAAATAAGACCTGAAACGAAAAGTGCTTTGTAAACCAAAAAGGACTATACACATGTAAGGCATTACTATTATCTTCATACTCATCAGAAACATTTATTGAGGGCCCCTGTGTTTCAAACACCATTACAAGGCATCTGTTCTCACACATAACAAATACCTCTTTGAGATGTTTTTAATTGCATGTTAGCTTCCTTTCAGACCCGATTCATTTCTGATCTGAGCAGCAACAAAGGGAGCTTTTATTGCTGAGGTTCATTTCTGGAAATTAAATTTCCATTTTCAACACTAATGCTACTGTAATTCGCAGTGGTTTCTGTCTCTTTTTATTGTGTCTGACAGCGACCAGCCTATCAGCGTTAAGTGGCTGAATACGAGTATGTAAATGTACAACATAAAAAGACATTTTTGAAAAGCGGGGGGGAAAGAAAAACATTTAAAGTAGGAAATTAGAGCAGTCATTGGATCCCACACCATGGTTAATGAGTGCGCAGAAAGCAAACAGTTTCTGGCTCTGGGACCTCAAGCGTTACAGCCAGGGCAACACTTCTCCTGTTTTTGGAAGGAAATCAGTAATAGCCTCCACACACGGGAAGCCTTCAGTTTGCATTTTTTAATGCCTCCAGGGAGGACAGGGTTTCTGGTTTCAAATCTGTTAAATTTTTCTTTAAAAGACTAGTTTTGTTCAGAAACCAAAACAAAAATTAGCATATTAAGAATATATGTAGGTCACGAGTTTGCCCTGCTGCTCGAAGATTTCATCAAGCATAGCTTGCAAAACATCAGTGGGTTCCCGAGAAGCAGGGTGGGACTCAATCACTTTTGCTTAATTATGCAAAATCTCTTAAAATCCCTAAACCCTGTTTTTATTAAGTATTATGTGTATAAAATATGGCAGAATGCCCATCAATATGTTAAAAGTGGCCATTCCTGAGTGGTGAATAATGAGACAGTTTAATGTTCTTTCTTATGTTTATGTATTTTCTGAATTTTCTACATCAGAAGAACATGGCTTTAGAAATAAGAAAAATAAAAAAGTTTTAAATACGAAGAAAAATGAAAACTCACCAACAGTTTTGCTTCTTTATTTTGCGCCTGGTCACAGGTCTTACACTGATGCAACCACAACTCAATTCAAATTAATAAATACACTTTTACTGAGGACCTACTAAGTATTGGGCCTGAGCTTTTCTTCTTTCTCCGGTTTTTATTTTTGTTTTTCCTTTTACAAATGAGACTTTCTGAGTGGACCCAAAGACTGAATGGCTGTGGGAAACAGATTTGAATGTAACAAGAAAATTAAGAAAAATAAAAAGGCTTTTCCTCCCTCATGTAAATACAGGCTGTTGTTGTATATTATTTATAATATTCTAAGTGTTAGAGATACTACTACTAAAAACAGGTTTATTCCATTAATCTTTGAAGCATAACAGTCCTGGCTTCATGATTCTGTCCCATCTTGTTGTGTGAACTTGGGCAAGTCACCCCAAGTTGTGGGTAGACATTGGTTTGGTAGTTCAGATTAGGTTCTAAGAACTGGAACCAGGAATGGAGCATCCAATTAGGAAAAAAATAGAAGATTCAGTAAGTTCTGAGACTTAGAACCAAGGATGGCATGTCCAATAAAAAAAAAAGTGAGTCAAATGAACCCATTAGGGGTTGCTAAGCATCTGTTGTAGAGATTGCTTGCTATTTAAAAGTCCCTGTCCACTTTTCTTCTTCTTCTCTTTCATCTTCTTCTCCTCCCCCTCCTCCTCCTCCTTTCTTCCTCCTTCACCTTCTTCCTCCTCTCTCCCACTCCTTCTGTTTCTTCCTGGTCACAGAACTGGGCCCCATTCCTCCACCTCCCTTACTGTTAGCTTTGGCTTTGTGATTGACTCTTAGTCAATGGAATGGAAGTAGAAATTGTGTGTAGTATTTTTGGCCAAAGATGTGTGGAAACAGTATGTCCTCCCATGCTCTCTCCCCCTTTCCTCTGGCCGCAGGCGGATGACAAGACCCAAGGAGCTGGAGGAGCCACACAACTGAAAGGGATGAGGTTCCTGAATCACTACACGGAGGGAAGCACCCACTGATTAGAAACATCTGCCTGTTTCATAAGGATAAGTAAAGGTCAGTTGTGCTTGAAACATCATGTTTTGGGTCTATTACTACAGCTTACCTAACTTATGCAGAATCAAATACTAATTTCAAGAGCTCAGGGCAGGATCAGTAGTGCAGAGTCAAGAGCTGGGTGACAGGGGTCTGAGTTGAATCCCCATAAGACGTACAAGTCAATAATAAGTAAGAGGAGGACAAAATCATGGGAGTCCTATGGCTGGCCTTTATTAATCTGTGGGGATTTTTAGGAGTTGAGGGTCAACTGGTACAATTAGCTTCCCTGGGCTTTGTTTCCCCATTTGTAAAATGGAGGTGTTAGATAAGATCAAAAATAACAAGTGGACTTTGTCTGGAGGGTCAACACTGCTAGGTTGGAAAGGACTATTTAGGTCTCTGTGTTAAGATGGATTCTCAGGTTGGGTCTTGAACTTGCAGGAAAGAGTACCACAGCCAATTAATAGCACAGGCCCAGGAAGGGAGAGAAGGAACCTGCACACCAATGGCTGCCATAGCAATGCCAGGTGTTCTCTGATACCTACGAGTCTCATCATGGGCAGATTGCTTCAGAGCTGTAGTGGCGAATGTGTCCTGTGAGGGTGACCTCAGAGATGAACAAGCGGCATTGAATCCATTCCTAGTAAGTGTCTTAATTTAGTAGTTTTAACTTCACAGATACCAAACTGGGCCAGGTGCGGCGGCTTATGCCTGTAATCCTAGCATAAGGTCAATGCAGGAGGATCACTTGAGACCAGGAGTTCAAGACCAGCCTGGGCAACATAGGGAGACCCTGTCTCCACCAATAATAATTTTAAAAAATTAACCGGGTGTGGTGATGCATGCCTGTGGTTCCAGCTTCCAGGGAGGCTGAGGCAGGAGGATTGCTTGAGCCTAGGAAGTCAAGGCTGCAGTGAGCTATGATCACTCCACTGCACTCCAGCCTAGGCAACAAAATGAGATCCGGTCTTAAAAAAAAAAAAAAGAGATACCAAACTGTCTTTTGCATGCATGGAAATTCCATGCAGGTTTTCATTTTCTGTTTTGTTCTAGGTTGTTCTAAGTTAGCTCAATGAAGAGAAATACTGGTGAATAGGACACTGGGAAAACGTTCCAATAAGGGTTCTAACAAGGTCAGATCGATTCAGCTAAAGATCTTTAAAAAAAAATCAACTATTTAGTCAGAGCCCCTAGAGTGAGCAAATAATGTTGACACAACCTGAAGAGGTATTCCATTCCACTAAGGTTGCCCAGAGGAGGAAAACTAGCTCGTTTTTTCAATACCCGGAGGTGTTGCATCATGCAGTTAGGCTTGGTGACCAGAGAGCCAGGAGGCAGGGTTCCAGTTCTAACCTCATTGCCAGCTTGCTGTGTGGCCCTCGACAGCTGACATCACCTTTCTGAACCTCTGTTTTCTCATCTGTAAAATAAGGTTTTTGACTAGATGAGTAGTCTTTGAACTGTGTTGTTTGGACCCCAAAGATTCAAGAATGATGTATGAGGTGGGAGGAGGGTGTGGCAGAGCAGGTGGAGTTCTGGGGCCCCCTTCCTCATTTCCCAAGAGGAACCTCACTTGCATCTACTCTATTCATGGGCAAAGCGTGGCACCCCTGGGATCGCTTTCCCACCCTCCAGCTGGGTGACTCCTCCCTGTAGAAGGTTGATCTGTCCAGCTGCAGCACACCCTGGGGGGCTGAGCAGAGGAGGGCGTGAGCTGGGAACTGCTCCAGCAGCAGGGGCTGCCATCTGAACGCTGTGCAGCTGCCTAAATATTTTGCCTCCAGGTTCTTCCCCACAACTACCCATGCTCTGATTCATCTTAATTAAAGGAGAGCTCTCATTCTGCCTCTGGCTTTTTGTGGATTCACAAAATTCACAAAATTCTCTCACCCTCAGACTTGATATTAAATCTTCTAGTGTGGCTGTGGCTCATTTCTGGTTTTATTTGGACTTAATTTTATTAGTGTAATAGTAGTGGTAGTATTCACACATTAATCATAATGATGAATATAGTTCTATGTTTACAAACCAAGCTTTAAAAATACTTTCACCTGCATTAACCCATTTAACAGACAACGAACCCACCCTCATTCTAACTTTTATTTATTATTTTTAATTGCAAATGCAATATACACTCATATTTCATTTAAACACCAACTTTAAACCCAGGTTACCATGGCTTGAATCTTGGTTCTATCACTTACTAGCTGTGTGATTTGTGGCAAGTTCTTTACCCTCTATGGACCTCAGTTTCCTCAACCATAAAATGGAGATAATACAGCACTAACTTCATGGCTATGATTTCAAATATGTAGAGTGCTTAGAATGGTGTGTGGCATGTGCTTAGTGCTATGTAAGTTTTCACTACTTTTTTTTTAAATATCAAGAAGCAAATATTGGTAATAAGGGAAAAGCCTGACATCTGTCCCTTCTCATCTCTGCATTCTCAACAGAGGTGACATCACACCCAAGGGGGTGAAAACTGGTTTTTGCGGGAGATAAAAAAATCTAACTTTTAAAAAATATGCTTAAAGCACAGATACATATACACTGTATTAACAGATATAGAGTATAGCTGTGGTTTTAAATTTTCATGGGTGGGGCAATTTAGGGGCAATATTTTTTTTAGAAGTGGAAACACTGTCCTAATCTCATTAATCAGAGTAACACCTGGTTCTGTGCATGTCCTTTCAGATCCTTAAAAAATTCTAGTTATTTTGCAACAATGCTGTTTCTGAACTCTGCTGTGGGTTCTGTCCTGATTTATCGTGGCTGTCTTTCCATGGTGCAGATGCATAAATGAGGTTCTCTGTGCTGATGCACCATGATAAACCATCACTGATGCTCAGAGTCCTCTGCTTATGAGCATCCAGGCCGACTCCGGTGAATGATGTTCTTGACTACAAGTTCAGACTCCTCCAAGTTCAACTGTGGGGTGAGGGTGGCTATGCTTTCAAAGTTTTCATAGCTCCTGTCAAATTATTCATTTGATCTTCATAAGGACTCTGGGCATGATCACTAGATGTAGAAACCAGCTCAGAGAAGCTGTAGCGTGTGTGGCACAGAGAAACCAGCCCAGTAGGCTTAAACTTCCTGTCTCCTGTGCTGAAGAGGCAGGTAAATTTCTGCTGAATTTTCTCCTCCTTTGGGCTTTATCTGTGGCCTGAGGGCTCCCTGGGCAGTCTTGGACTAGCTCGCTGGGGATCTTCGCTGTACAATTTCTCAGACTTACCCCACCTTGCTGCTTGAGGAAGGCCCTCTGTGCCCAGTGAGGTCTGTAAGGAGTCACAGAGGTTGGCAATGGCAGCTGGGCAGTGAGGCTTCTGGGAATCCCAGAGACACCTCTTTCCCTGCAAAAGGTGCATCACAGCCTACTGGCTGTCTCGCCCCTATCCATCATGTTCACTTCATTCCAGAAACAGATCCTCATGGGCTTTCTGGTTTTCTTCCATTGATTCATTAGACCCTTATCTCTGACACTTTCTTGAAACTTTTTGCAACCTAACACCTGACTTACTGACTCCTCTTAAAGTGCTCATGGCACGTTTTACCTGGCTCAGTTTTCTAAAACAGGACTTCTCAAACTGTGACGTGTCTGTGAGTCACCGGGGATCTTATCAGAGTGCAGATTCTGATGGCACAGATCTGGGGTAGGAGGGGTTCTGCTTACTCAGCTCCTGAGCAGTTGAGAATGGTGGAATTAGCAGAGTCCATCTAAAAGATGATGAAACATGTCCGGTTCTCGATGGAGCCAGGTAGCAGGGACCAGCCCCTCTCTTCCTTTCACCTAAAGCAGAGACCCCTGGAGGATGCTGTCTCTGATCTCAGTCTTTCCCTCATTCTGGGTTCTTAGACATTTCACCATGTGTCTGGAAGGGCCAGACTTCCTCTAACCACTCTGGAAAGAGCCAGGTTTATGTTCAATCAGAGGAAATGTGTCCCCATATATTGTAGTTCTGGAGATGCAAGGAAATGGACATATGTACTCCATTCCAACACACACACACACACACACACACACACACACACATCCAGAGTAACTCTCAACATTTTGGCTTTGGCTGCCATTTGCAAGTTGTTCCTTGGTGGTTTGTATCGTCTTTCCTTGAAATTCTTTTCTATGCAAATGACTCTAGAAGAAGGACTATTTCAGATACAAACATCTTAGTGTTTCAGATATTCTTGGCTGGGATGGGGTGAGGTGGGCATGTCAACAGGATATAAAGGGAACCCAGATGCCCTGGGAATACTAAAAATGACCAATCTTTGGTGAGTGCCTACTGCATATCAGGAGGCCTTCAAAGCACTTTATATGTATTTCCTCATTTTGTCCTCAAAAAGACCTGAGGGAGTAGACACTATTGTTAGTATAACAGTATTCATTTTATGCAAGAAAACTGAGGCCAATAGAGGTTAAGTAATGTGTGCAAGGTCATAGAGCTAAAAAGCTGGAGAGTTGAGATGTGGGCTGCAGGAGTCCATAACTCAAGATCATGAGCATCTTACTCTTCTTCCCCTAGGGTTGGAAGAGGAGGAAGAGGTGGTTGCTACAAAGGGGAGGCAGGGGGTGCCAGACACAGATGCTCCCAGTTTACTGCTGGGCTGGATTCCGGCTTTGCGTGAACTGTGGCTTCTCCATGTTTTTTGTCGTTGGTCCAAAGGACAACTATCAGCAGGTCTTGCTGTCCATTCCAGACATTGCTCTTGAGCCTGTGACTATGGAGAAAGGTGTGGCTTTTCCCTCTGCACTTGGTCTGGGTGTAAGATGGCTCTGACCCACGCCCAGACACACCCCTGCACGCTACCTTCAGTTGCTCAATTCCCTCATGCCCTCCCTTACCTCCAGGCGTTTGCTCATGCTGTTCCCTCCATCTTGTACCTTCTTCCCACTCACTGTTCCTGGATGACTTCTACTTCAAATAACAGCTTTGAGTTGCCCCTATAGGCAGCCTGCCTAGACCTACCACTCCACATGCAGTCACATTCCTCTGTAAGCCTCATACACCATTAGCACTTTC